GCACTTTGACCCTTGAGTTATTTGCCTAGCCCTTCCAGTCTCTGCTTCCTAGCAGAGACTCCACAGTTCCAGAACGGCCCCCAGATGTAGAAATCGAATTTCTTCTTTTCCATCCCTAAACCCAGTCACACAAGGCGGTGTTTGTGTGGGTAGGTTTCCTGACACTTAGAGAGGCAGGGCGATCTGCTTTTGTGCGGTAATTACAGGACTCATTAGAAGCTCTCTGGATAGCTCTCCGGTCTCTAGCCTGGTGCCTCCCCTCTCCCTCTCTCCCTTCTCCTGCTCCTCAAATCTTCCCATCCGACAAAGCAGAAGAGCCCAGTCCTGGTGTATCTGCCCTCCTTCCGCTCTCGGCCACATCAGTTTTCTCTTAAACAAGGAGCATTTGCTTCTAAGCAAAATTTGATACCAGATCTGGAAAAGATTTTGGTTGGATTTTCATTATTAGAGACAGAGTCGAATGTACCCCCAGACTGGCCTTGAACTCACTATGTAGCCAGCCAGTGTGGCTCAGAACTAGCTATATAACTCAGGCTGGCCTCAGCTACTGATCCTCCACCTCCCAAGTGTGGGGTTTACAGGCGTGAGCTCACATAATTGGCTATGAGCTGCCATACTGGGGCAGAGTCATAGGTCATGAACATTTTATGATTCCAGAATGGAGCATCACAGAAAGTCAAGCCTAAAGGAACCCAGGGCCTAAGCAAACCAGAGCTGGAGATGTAGCTTAGTTGGCAGAGTGTTTATCTAACACACAGGAAACCCTGGGTTCTATCGCCACACTGCATAAAACAGGTTTCATGGCTCCTGCTGGTAATCCCGGCATTCAGAAGGTGGAGACAAGAGGATCAAGAGTTAAAAGGTCAGCTGGGCATGGTGGTGCACACCTTTAATCCCAGCAGCGGGGAGGCAGAGGCAGGGGGATCACTGAGTTTGAGACCAGCCTGGTCTACACAAAGAAACCATATCTATAAATAAATAAATAAATAAATAAATAAATAAATAAATAAATAAATAAATAAAGGTCATCTTCTGCCACACGGAAGTTGGAGGGCTGGCCTGGGCTACATAAGACCCTGTCTCAGATGAGCAAAAGAAGAAAAGCTGAAAGCCAAAAAAGTGGATACAGGCTGGGTCTAGCCTTTAATCCCAGCACTCAGGAGGCACAGGCAGCGGATCTCTGAGAGTTCAAGGCTAGCCTGGTCTACAGAGTGAGTTCCAAGACATCCAGGGCTATGTAGTAAGACTCTAAACCCCTGCCCCTCCCCCCAAAAAGTGGATATACCTGTAATCCTAGCACTCTGGAGGTTGAGGCAGGAGGATTGCGTTCAAGGCTATCTTGGTCTTCTTTATATAAGACTGTCAAAAAATTACACACTCTTCATATATATGAATTTCATACATATATCTGAATACATGAACACATATTTATATATATTTCACACTCACGTACATATCTATATATGAAGGAAGGGTGAAGTAGAGGGAGGAAAGGAGGCAGTTAGGAGGAAGGGAGGGGGGGGGAGAAGAGTGGAACATGAGCTGCATTAACAGTCCAGGTTCCCTTAGTATCTGACCCACCCAATTTCCACGGCAAGCCCTAGGCTCCAATACAAACCAGGACGTGAGCTGGACGCGGACCTCAGTGTTATTGGGTTAACAGTTGCGTGCTCAGGACCGAGGCTCTGTGCTCTGCCCATGGCTCTCCAGGATGGAGGAAGCGGGTGGCTGTGAGACACGTGGTAGACCCCTAGGCACTGCACACTTGCGTGGGATTACTACTAATCAGTGGGTTTTCTGTCCCCTCCATCTCCCCGTTCCTAGGGCTCTCAAAGCAGCATGAGTGGGCAGCAAGCAGCTAACAATTAATTACAGGCTGTCTTGTATTGTTCTCTAATTACTCTTCCAGGCTGTGGGATTCCTCACCTGCACAGAATCCTGGAGCACAGACAAGAACCTCCCACAAGCTCCCCCCCCCACCTCCCCAGTGCCTAGTCCTGTCCTAGGCTCACAGGACGCCTTCAAACGGAGCAGCAACTGGCTGACTCCCGTTCACATGGGATACAGTTAAGAATTACTGGGAGGTTTATTAATATGCTAGACTCCTGTAAGGGTGCTTAGTTGTTGAGTGGAGGGGGGACCCTAGGCATCAGAATTTAACCCAAACACACCACCATCAAGTCCCCCATCAAGAAGAATATCGAGACCCAAGCCTCCTGTACCCTAAACTAAGGTTCTACCACTGAGCCACACCCCAGCCCCTCACTGGGGGATTCTAGGCAGGGGCTCTACCACT